ATATGATGTACATTTTCAGTCATAAAAAAGAGCCAGTGAGTTCAACATGAAATTTCAGATAGCTTTATTACAAGCACCTTTACGCAAACAATTACGCTGTCCTGGTCCGTCTGCATCCATGAGAGATGTCTCCAAGTCGGCTTAAGGCGTTGAATTTCGCATTAGCCTTGATGTTGGCCGATGTAAACCTCGCAGAAAGAGTTATCTTCGGCTGAGTGTATCGGTAACCCAAGCCTGGCTGTTAAGAGCTCCGGGTGTCAACATTGTGGGAAGATATGGACCGCCGTCTGGCTAACATCCAGAGGTCTGCGCCTCTAACTCCTCTCTGCTGACAGTGATAAGAAGCCTTGATTTGTGTTAAACATTTGTTTTATGCGAAAACATTTCAGATTTTAAACATAATCAATCAACTACTACTTTTGAGCAATGGGCAAGTCTGGAAAAAAGTGAAACAAAAAGTGAAAGAAAAGTAGGCTACCATCACAGGGCCTTTGGTTTCAATCTTCTCCTTGTTTTTGAACCCCAAATAACTTCTCACTCGACTCTCTATGCCTCTGCCCGGGTCAGGAAAAAGTTCAGGTGCGGTGGCGAAAGGCAACGTGGGATTAGCTTCCAGTGCACGGTCATGTCCAGCCATGTACTGGTGACAGCTCCACATCTGAAATATTGAGAACAAAAACATGACAAAATAACACAATACAGACTAAAACATTTTGTTTAAGCATCGAAAAATAATCTTCTTTTCAGTCATGCGCCCAAAACCTGTGCGTAAAACTTAATCTGTTTAACCCTGATCATTAATATTCCTCCTCCTCTCTTCAGTTTTAGAAGTGTTGAAGGTGAATTAATAAGAGCTGGTCTGCTTCCGTCCCTGTCTTTAAAACTTTACCGCTCAAGTTGTAGTTTGAGAAGACAAAGGCTGGTGTGGGAGTGGGTTGCTGTCTATGTCCGCCCCGAATGATTAATAGTTGTGGTGGGATTTTTCCACGCCCGCTGCTCGGTGTTGACGAAAAACAAGCGCCAAACGCTGCCGAGAGAAGAGAAGCTCTTCCGGGCTTGGGCTTTTGGCGATACGTGGAGTGTCAGAAGCTAGATATCAACCATGACATGCGAGCCACGCTCTGTATATAGCAACTGGTTTATATGATGATGCTTTTGGCGAACTACAACAGGATTATGGCTAAGTCGGCACTTTTGCCGCCGTTCATCCCCACCCCCATTCTAAAACTCTGCCTTTGCACAAACCTGTAATTTCTAACATCACTCAGCTGCTCATAGGAAACGCGTAAGCGCATTTAGGTCGAATGGGGGTCCATGTACTGATCAGCGGGGTCGAGCAGCCACTCTTTGGTTACCTCACCTCCACTTTCCGCTCACTGCTGACTGACAAGCACCCCTCACGACCACCGGGACGCACACCCTTCTCATGTAGGACAGGTAAATTGTGACTTTTTCCCTCACATTTGGCCAACAGCATGCAGGCTTTTGCTGATTGAAGACCAAATGCTGATTAAGTGGTACTACACCCAAGCTGTGGGACTGTGGACGGGGGGGCGATATTGAGTAAAGCTCTCCACAGCCCTGACTGTGTTGTAAAGAGAAAGGAGAAGCTGGAGTGATGAGTAATCATTATGCCACTCTTAAATGGTATTTGGTAGGTGAAGCTCTCTCCATCTCACATAGTGCGAATTATCACGCTGCAGTGACAAACATTCTGGTTTTTAGCCCGGCTCTGAGCTGTGGCTGCACTTGAAACTCAGCATAATGCAGGCAGTATTAGCTCTTTCAGCCGCTAACAGGCACCAAATATATGGCACTTTAAAACTGACAGAACAGTCTTTCCCTCTGAATGGGCGACACGTGGAAAAGCTGCTTCTCTGCGAGAGACTTGCTCCTCTGCCAGATACATTGCAGTGTCACATACCCCTCTTTTTTCTCCCTCCAAACTGATCCGTTTCTCCTCAGGGGCAATGACTGCCTCCATTAATGATTCACGGGCTCAAATAAAAGGGATTTAAGTTGACGTTGCGTCACGTGAGCGGGGGCGCATAATACTGCGCGATGTTATGGCACGGGGAAGAAAACCGGAGCCCCGGTCTGGCCATATGATGCTGATTATATGCGGGTTACCCCCACTTTCCGTGAGGGGAGTCCGGGCTTTGTAGTTTGTTTATCGAGGGGAGAAAAAGAAAAGAGAGGCGCACTGAAAGAGAGAGGATCCCTGGTTTGTGGATGTATTATACCGCTGTCACGGACGGATGTGTTTTTCCACGCGGACAGAGTCAGAGCCCGAGCTTTGGGAGGATGGATTTTATTTTGAGGTATTTCCGCCGATTGTTCATTACTGTCGTGAGTTATTGCTGCGCGAGGCAGAGGTCAGTTAAATAGGGGTCCAGGGTTTCTGCAGGGCGAGAAAGTAGACAGGTACCAATAAGCTATCGATATTCATCTGTTAATATCTGAGATTTATCACAGCCAATCAAGCGAAACATAAATAGGCCTTCAGAATTTACATACAACATACACAAGCAACGATTTAAGGATTTGTCTGTGCCACTGTGTCTCAGGCTTTGTTCCATTTTATGCTTCTCAGGCTAAACACTATCAAAGCCATTACTAGTTTCTGTGTAAACTTAGAATATAGCAGCAAGGAATGATATATTTCTGTCATATTCCCGTTTTTAATAGCACGAGCAGCCATTTGGATAAATAGGCCTGTATAAGCTTTTGTAAATAAAGCGGCCATTTAAATACTGGCTTCCAAGAAAAAACCCAAACAGAGCGCGCGGCCGCTCCAAGGTGTAACCGGTCCTATAAAACAAAACATCTCGTGTCTTTACGTGGGTTTTTTTTGTGTGTAAATGATACATCAAGATGAGCTCCATTAAAAAAAAGTCGAGGAAAGCGGTGGGGTTGTGTCGCTCCGCAAGGGAAACGAGGATATAATGGAAGACGGAGTGCCATCCAGGACCGCGCGGCCGCGCTGAGGTCACGGTGCTCCTGCTTGATTTATGGGCGCGGGGACTTGGGGAAGATGGTGCGCGAGAGCTAATGACTATTCGATCCGTTTGTGGAGAAAATGCTTACCAGCCAGCAGGGAAACAACAAACACGTTATTTGCATTGGCCCATTTTTATGTTATTAGTGATATTAGGCTGATAGGCAGGAATATTTGCTTGTGATATTTGTGTCTGAGGAGGATTTTTGTTCATTGGCTTTTATTTATGCAGTTTGTTTATTAGTTTTTATAGTCTTGTGTTTCATGAGAATTAATATTTTGGTTAATATTGTGGTGCAAAATGCTGAAATGAATTCAGATTTCATGCTTCCTCGAAGCTGTAAAGACATTTATACTTTAAGACAAAGACTTGGAGCCTGCTGTTAAATCTAAACATTGACCTAAATATTATCTTGAAAATTAATGTATCGAATTTTACTAGATTTCCTATTTTGCAGATCTTTGTTAGTTTTTTTATTGTATTTTATTTTTAAAATAAGGCCTACAGCTTTACGCGTAAAAACAACACTTATTTATAACCAGATGCTCTCTTTATATGGAGCGCCTATTTGAAAATAAAATCCACAGCACTATATTTTCCACAACACGCTAAGGGTTGTTTTATCTTTTGAGAAACTGAAAATATTTATTCCTCCTTGCAGAAAACCAGCCAAGTAAATTCAGGCCATCGCACGGTCTCCGAGACACCTTGAACTGCCTTCGGTAAGTCCATATATCTTTATTGATTTGCGTTATGAATGCTTGATTGTGATATCCTTATTCAATTTCTAATAAGTACCACACACGCCCACCAAAGCACTCGCAGGGATAGAGAAGCAGCCTATGGCTTGTACGTTTCCTCGTAGCAGCAATATGACCAGCCCGAGAGCAATAATTCCTTCTCTTCCACTTGTCTTTGTGGTGTAATTTGTCACTATAAAAGTGACGAGGGGAATCGCAGCTCTTGGAGCGGTGCCTTACTCCTTTCAAAAACTACTTCCAGTGAAAGCCATCTGCTTGAAGCTGCTGTAGTTTACTGCGCTGAAGTTTTAAAAATGGATCTACTCTCATCAACATTTCAATTTTTTACCCTCCCACATTGTTTTACGCCTTATTATGCACGGCAGTAAAACGACCACCACCTCACTGACATTTCACCCTCAGCTCAGGGCCAAATTAAAGAGAGAGACGCATCAGCATTTTAGCAAAACACAAAGAGGTAAATAATTATACAATGTGACTACTCTGGTTTCGAAAAGAAAAAGCCGAGTTGGCTAAAAAAAAATCCTCACGCGTGAATTTTTATCCCACTCACCCTCCCACACCGTCCGTGTGTTCTATCTTTTTAATTGTGTCACTGGATTTTGTCCCAGAGCTTGAAACCAGCAGAGAAGCTGCAGCTCTGGACGTGTTTACAGCCCGGGGAAGCTGAGAGGACATAAATCTATTTTTTCTCCCATTCTTTCTTTTGGCTGCAAAAGAGAAGCATTACCATGCAGAGGGATTCCCCCTGCTGCCGGCTCTCTACTCCCCTGCTCCTCGCTGCATGTCCTCCGCTCTGCCTTTTGGTGATGAACCTTCTTCCCATTTTTCACACCCAGCTCCTGGTGGGGTTTTTCCCTTGATATACATGGAGCTCGGCTTTGATGCGAAATTGTTGTGCTTTCTATTCTCAAAATAAATACATTGTATTCTTCACACAAGAAGCCATGCAGGCAGTGGTAGACCTGGTGCTGGAATGAAAACGAATAGCGCTTCCCTTGTGCCCAAACATTGAGGACTATATGCAAAAATGCGGGTTAATTATTAAACCGCGAATAGAAGCCCTTTATGTCCCGTGGAAATGGAAATGCAGCATGGTCAGCGGCTGATTATTCCTTTGTATTCTCCCCTCTCTCCAACATCTCATCCGCTAGGGCTCATAATTCCACTGCAGGACGTGGAGTAAATAATAACAAAAAGATTTAAAACACTTTAGGGAAGGACTTACATGCTATTTCTAACGATGCATTATGTTTTTTTTTCTGGACACACTACCTCATTTGGTTGGGGGAGGAGGAGAAGCAGCCACTTGATTTGAACTGGCTTTCCAAGGCGCTACTTATTTGCATAATTTTTTTTGTCTATGGTGACGCTCTGGTTCGGGGCAGTTCACTGGTGTCTGCATGGTACTGGTGAAGGATCACATAGTCTAGCATAGCCTTGGCTGAGTTTAATATTGCTATGAAGCCCTGGCCATTGCTCTGTAGCATGACGATAAATTCAATCTTGGGGCCAGATAACTCTTATCTCGCTGACCCGACTGCTCACGCCTGCTTTCGTAATCTCGGTTTACCCATCCACGTCGAGTAGGAAAAAAAGAAAAGGAAAAAAGGAAAGGGGTTTCTCTCGGCTCTTCCCTTTTTTGTTGTGGCTGCTAATGCCTGGTGCATGGCAGGGCGCACTCTGCTGCTGCTCCTGCTGCTGCCTCACCCAGCCAGCCCTGCCTTTAAACTTTTTTTCCCCTGGATTATTGCTTTGATCGATTTCGTCGCTGAATGAGAAAATATCTCTTGGTGCTCTGCATTCGTCGTCAGAGGATAAGGTAAGCAGGCCAGAAATAGGCTCCCCTCGGTTGTAAATGGCGGAGTTTGTGTGTCGCGCGGTGATTTATCACCGTATGACTTAGATCTCGGTTCAGGAAGAGTTCACACACACAGTCAGGCAGCCAGATTCCTCTAACGTGGAGCAGAGAGGGCTGCGCGCAAAGTCTGTCATTTGTCTCTCTTTCTCTGTCTTTTATGACTATCGCAATGGCTCGCCTGGAGATACACACCACAAAGCTTTCTGATATCTTTTCCAGGTCATCGTGAGTGCAGATACAGCGAAGACACCTTCTTTCACTCTGCGGTTTAGTTGCGTTAAGGGCGAGCTCAGGGCTCATTTTAGACTGATTTGCTCTGCACGGCTGCACAAACAGTTGCTCGACATTTTCTTTTTCATTTATTTGCGTTCATTTTATAAAAATGCATTCTAGCTATACGTTTGCTCCGAGACTATACTAAACCTATCCATACCTACGGATTATGAAATTAACAAGTAATATTTTTATTGCAGCCTACATTAACAAAATAAATGTTGGGATTATATTTACCATCAGACACATAACACCATCAGGGCCTGTTAGCGTCAGCAGTTGAAATTTGAAATTAGGGTTGCAAGCAAATGTTTTTTGATTTTATTTAGTTCTTATTTATTTCATTTAGTGTCCAAGTCATCAGCTTCCTTGATTGGAGCGACTGCAGTGGTTAAATCTGGAGTGCAGACAAAAGAACTGCATGATTTAATAACCAAATAGTAAATGGATGGGCTGGTTTTACAGTTTATTTGTACTGAAAATCACTAGCTTTTAATTAAAAGTATTTATTATTATTATTATTATTATTATTATTATTATTATTATCCATTGCACTTTGCTAATTTTAATGGCAATCTCTAAAACACCGGGAGTCCACATTAAGCATTCCACTATTTCATTAGTGATGCCACATTATGAAAGATTTCCCGATGATGACCCGTGGATCTGTGTCTATTATGGTTTATAGTTCCCCCAATAATCTTTCAGAGGCTGATCCCCATGGTTACCTGCGTGAATTATGGTGGTTTAGCAGCAGGCTCTAGCTGTGCCATGCCGGGTTTCTGTCCGCCTGAGTACCGGGCTTGGCTGCTCACCGGGCCGCTCATTCCGAGCAGGCCGTCCCGGCCCACTGACCCCCATATATCACCGCGACGGGCCGCCGCGCAGACAGCACCGACAGCAACCATTATTATGGCCCTGCTAGGAAAAGTTCACACCGTGGTCATGGAGATGCACGGATGCCCGCCCGGTTTTTCAGGTTTCCTCGTGGCCCTTCCATTTATCTTGCAGCATTCAAAGAAAAAAGAAAGAAAAGGAAGAGAATGCGGTTGTTTATGCTTTGCGTCAGGTGGCCGAGGTAACACAGCTCATTGAGGTCTATCCTGTTACTCACAGTGTAAAACAAAAATGGGTTTAAAGTTTGTGGACCACACGGCATGCTTTCACCTACTACATAGGAAATTAGATATACTGTTGACAGCCCTGTTGGTAGAATAACAATATAACAAAAATATTATTTTCCTGTGTGGTTACGCGTTATAAGATTTCCCCACAGACCCTTTTTTTCCACCTACAGCATTTTGTCTAAAAGGTAACTCTATATTTAGTTTCATTGTTAATAAGCCCAGTGGTTTAAAATGTCACGCAGTTTCTTGTTAGGTCTAAAAATTGATTTGGCAATCTGAAATGCTTTTGAAAAGGTTTTTGTTTTGATGTGGTTTGGCACAGATGGTAATACAAGGTTAGTGCGTGCCTTTGTGCCCTGTGTAAGCCATAAGGTAAACGGTAATAGTCTACAGAACTGTTGGCCCTATCTTGCTTCCATAGTCTCTTGTGTCAGGCCTGCATTGAAAAGTAAGATGGATCGCCACCATTTCTTCTCCTCACAGTGCTTCTTGTAACCCTAGGTTCACCCGAGGAGGCCATTGGCGGAGAGGCGTCACGTGACCACGGGGTGCCAATGTTATTCTACAAGGGTGTCAAGACCCTGTCAGTTTCTGAAATAAATATTGGGAAACGGCGAGATGCAAAAGGCAACCTACTACGACAGCTCCGCAATTTACAGTGGCTACCCATATCAAAGCGCAAATGGCTTCAGTTATGATGCCAATCAGGTCCAATATCCCCGGGCCTCTCATGTGGAAAGTGAGTACCATCGACCTGCCTGCTCCCTGCAGTCTCCTGACGGCTCCGTGGCTCTGCAGAAGCCGGGGGAGATGGCGGAGAGCTGCGACAGGACCACAGCCATTCAGGCGGCGCAGTCCAAGGTTCATCCCGAAAGCAATCAACCGCAGGTGCCAGTGTCAGGCCCACCCCCTCCCTCACAATCCCCCGGTGCTATCAGCCAAAACACAAGCAACGGGTCCAACCAGCCCAGTGCCAAGAACGGCTCGCCGACCTCTGCAGCTCGCAAACACATCTTCCCCTGGATGAAGGAATCACGTCAGAACACCAAGCAGAAACCCACCAGTAGCTCCAGTTCAGGTACTTTCAACCAAAACACTGCTGCTGTTAACACATAACTTGATAGCCTCTGACCAGAAAGTTAAATAAGTTTTGTTGAGAGAGGACACAATACATAGGGGGTGTGGGTGGGTGGTAAGGTAAGGGGATAGCAGGGAGAGGGGGGCAAACCGCAACCCTGTGAGGGTTAAAATGTTCCTGTTTTTTTTCTGTGCCAGCGTCAAAAAGGTGTTGATTTAACTGTATCGTTTTCAGGTCAGTGAAGTCAGTGGTTTGTGGTATTACATGGCATTTTATGTATATATTTTGTTCCCTCTGTAGACCCTAAAGTTATTCAAGAACTACAGCCAAAATATGACCACAGAGTTTAATCAACACCTCTTCAGTCAGAGTATATGTGAAAGCGTTACTTTTATTGTATCCTGAAATGATTAAGTGACATCTTGGTAATTCTCCAAAATGATACCCCACACATTATATACTATAAATAACAATATAAGGATATAGACTCTAGAAGAGTTATGTGGCTTAACAGTTGAAGTAGTCTCCACCATTTGTTGTCCCTGTGCCCTGCAGCTGACCTGTCCCTACTGTAAACACGCATCTCCACTGATCACATAATGTTCCCTGGAGAGACAACAAACAAACACGCACAACAGTTGTTTCAGTCTGTCCTGCTGTTCTGATTAGAGGGAAACTTGGGTCAGAGTGGGTGGGTTGTGTTTCAGGGGGTGTTTATTTACATAGAGCAAACTTTAAAATTCAGAGATTCTCATCTTCCCATGGCGGTCTTATTAGGTAGATATGTGGGTATTATTTCAAGTAAGATACAGGTGTTATTTGACAGTAAGAAACGTTATGTGGCTTCATTTTGATTTATGTTTAAAAAGTTTTTTTAATAACACGTAAGCTACCCTTTTGGGCATGTTTTATACACGTACACAAGCCAGATCTTGCTGTTTTGATGAAAGGAGGACTTGGAAGGTCATGTTGGGGAGTTTGGATTTGGGGGGGTCTTTATTTATATGGACTCAACTCAAGTTGATTCAATGTAAGAGACACTCATTTTTCAATGGCCTTATGTGTTGTAAATTAAATGGGTAAGGTTCCTACGGTAAAGGTTGAAAATATAAAGCAAGATAAGGTCTTTCATTCAATCCAAAAATAATTTCTGTTTGGAAATGTTTTTTTATTCGTTTCTAACAACACATTGACGTGCTAACATGTATGGGAACGCTTTTACGCACGTTTTACGCACATTTTACGCACGTGCGAAGTCTAGATCCTGCTGGTTATTTAGAGGGAAGCTTTGTGAGTTAGTGTGTTTTGGGCGTTAAGTTGCATAAAGCTAACTTAAAAATGCAGAGATGCTAATCTTCCAATGATCTTTACATTTTGTAAAAACAAAAAACGGTGGATCAGTTTCTAATAACGCTATACATAGTCACAGCAAGAGCTCAAATTCAAAGTAGTGTGACACTCCTTGTGATTTATGTTACAAATGTGTTATGTTACAGGGTTCTTTTTAAACAACTTATCGTGCTAGCATTCATGAAAAGTCTTTCGCGCTTTACGCACATACGCAAGTCAGATCCTGCTGTTTTTATTTGAGAAAAACTTGGTGGGTCAGGGTGGGGTGTTTAGTTGGGTTCTCTTCATTAACCCCAATCTAAAAATTCAGAGATGCTTACCTTCCGCTGGCCGTCTCATGTTGTAACATATGGGCAATTTTCTAAGTTATATATACTCCTCTGAGGTAAGAGTTTAAAATGCAAAGCAGTGTTTAGCCCTCATTGTGATTTATGTTTGGGAAGGGGTATTCATTAATTCTAACAACACGTTGAGGTGCTTACACTTATGAAAAGCCTTTTACGCGCGTTTTACGCACGTACGCTGGACAGAGCTCAATAGTGCTGCACGTAACAGGTTTCTCAAATCAGTGTTTTATAAAATCGAGCTAACTAGCCTTTTAAAGATGAATTCATAAGTATGCTCTTCATACAATAATAATCCTTATCACACGTGGTTGCCATACATATGTGGATATTCCTCCTGTTACCTTCTCTTTCATCTCTGTAATAACCTCATAGGTCAGGTTATGTCATGCTGCATTCCTTTTGCTCCACGTTTGGGCGACAGGTAGTGAAATTTATTAAGTGTTGGCCGCCTGCCACAGCGGCGAGTAGACCAACACCTTGCTATTCTGCAGCCAAGTTCCAGCCTCTTAGAGGGGGAGGCTTATCAGTGAGGGCATGGCGAGCTGCTTTATACACCCCGAGGAATACATAATGCTTGTGTTTGCATTACGCGTGTGCTATTCTGTGAGTACGGGGGGAGATGGGGGTCAAAATGTTTTGGTAGGAAATCTGAGGTTACCTGGTTCCATATCAGGTATTGACCTACTATTCTTCAGCTGCATTTTTTTGTCTGTGCAGCTAGTGTAGCGTGCACACAGACACACTGCCCATGCACTGTTCTGTTAATTGTCTTATGGAGCCCTTGTTATAACCCTTGTGCTTTGCAGTAAGGATTTATCAAAAATGTTGAGATGTTTGCCGCACACAAGGGCGCGCGCACACACACGCGCACCTGAAGAGGGAGGCGTTGGAGAGAGAGAAAGAGCCAACGATGAAATCCCTATTTAAGCACTGGAGCATGGCATATTTATCTAGTAAACCGACCCCTATTGATGGTTGAAAGTTCTGTTATCAGCTGTGTGCGTGTTGTCAGCTGGTTTCACTCTCACTCTCCTGTCTCTGCCTCTGTACCTCTCTCTCTCTCTCTCTCTGTCTGTAATGGATTACTGATTGACACCCTCCTCTCCTCCTCTCTGACAGTGGAGAGTTGCCCCGGAGACAAGAGTCCTCCGGGGTCAGCAGCATCGAAGAGGGCCCGGACAGCCTACACCAGCGCTCAGCTAGTGGAGCTGGAGAAGGAGTTCCACTTTAACCGGTACCTCTGCAGACCCCGGAGGGTGGAGATGGCCAACCTGCTCAACCTCACCGAGAGACAGATCAAAATCTGGTTCCAGAACCGCAGGATGAAATACAAGAAGGATCAGAAAGGTGTTGGAATGATGCCCTCCCCTGGCGGACAGTCCCCTCGGAGTCCCGTGGGCCCGGCCTCCGGTGGTGGTGGCAGTGGTGGAGGCTACCTCAACTCTATGCATTCTCTTGTAAACAGTGTACCTTATGAATCCCAGTCGCCGACGTCTTACAATAAACCTCATCAAAATGCATACGGCATGGCCACGTCATATCCCCCTCCTTTGAACAGCTCCCTCAACAACTGCCCGCCCTCCCAGAAGAGGTATCCCGGGACCGACTCGGCCACGCCCGAGTATGACGCGCATCCTCTCCAAGGCAATGGCAACTACGGGACTCACATGCAGGGCAGCCCCGTTTATGTCGGCGGAGGTTACATCGACTCAATGCCCAGTTCTGGGACCTCAGTTTTCGGTCTGACCCACCTCCCGCACCCGCCGTCCGCAAACATGGACTACAATGGAGCAATCACAATGGGCAACAGTCAGCATCACGGAGTGTGTGATCCGACACCAACGTACACAGACCTAACGCCGCACTACTCTCAGGGAAGAATCCAGGAAGCGCCCAAGCTGACGCATCTGTAGCGGTGGCGCTCCCCGGATCACTCCGCCCATTGTGTTATCCACCTCCAGACACATTACTGCTTTGTTTCCGCGCCTCCTCACGGCTTCCACCTTCTCTCTGCCTTTGTTTATGTTTTCTATAGTTTGATGTGTGAAGTAGCGTAGGATAAATAATCACAACTTGCTTGAATTTTTCTCTATTTGCTCGTGTCATTGTCTCACAAAGACCTTTATCTGGGCTGTAGGACGTCTAGAGTGGGAGGGAGGGGGGCACAGTATATGCATAGGCCTATTTAATCTTTTTTTTTTTAATCTTGTTTTAAAATCGAAACTCAAACAGGGTATTATGAACATATGTTATTCATTTTTAATGTGAATTTGTCCGTCTTTTATTTATCCGCAGTTGAAGAATTGTGTTTTGCATTTTGTTGCACTTGTGAAAGGATCCTTCAAGAGCCACGAGTTGGGATTATGAGGGAAATACATTTTCAGAAACAAGGGTCATGCGCTTACACGCAACCTCCCTTGCTTTGTGTTGTTCTATTGGACTTTCAAATGTTATTTATTTTGTTCGGTGTTAAGATAAAAGAGTCCTTTAGTATTATTTGACACCTCTGCGATCTTTGTGTGGGGGACAAGGTTGGTGGAAAATTAGCGTCTCGGCCCTTTTCCAGCCCATACATGTAGTCTGCACACGCTCCTCAGCAGCAGCAGCAGCAGCAGCAGCAGCACACCATGTTGCTATTATAGGCTATGTTTCCATTTTTCTTCTTCTTCTTCTTCTTCGAGGAGGTGTTTTATTTTCTCAGCGAATGTAAAATCAATCAGTCATGCAATAAGGGTGGAAAGAAGGACACACATTTGCAGTTTCTTTGTTGAAGTAAAAAAAAAGAAACAGACATCATCAATTTTCTTTTTTCGATGTCATACATTCCACGCTGCTCCAGTTCGAAGAAATAAATAAAAGAATTGAAATATAATTGCAGCAGAGCTTGTAGTTTTAATTTAGACACACATAAAAACATTTCATATGATCACAAAAATAAATACAAGACAGTTTATTAAATAAAAATAATAATGTAAAAATCGAATTAATTATTGTTACTGGTGTTATATATTTCATGACGGTATAAAATTCCAGAGTGGATAACAAAATAAATGAAAAATACATTTATATACAATTGGTAAAATTATAAACCGTGTGTGATAATTGGTAAATCTATATATTCGTATAATATTCAGGCATACAAAATAATATGAAACCAGTGACCATATTTAATATTCATTTACAAAAAGGGGCTGCAGATAAACTCAAATACTGAATAAAAGCTGCATGTTTCTTTCTCCCTTCCTCTTGATTCGACGTGAAGAAAACTCTCGGGTGGCCTTCTCCCCTCCTCTCATCTGCGTGGGCACATCCATAATAATAAAAATGTCACCCGGGCCCTTCTGGAGACTCTGCAAAGAGACAACAAGCTAAATGAGAAATCCTTTGAAAAATAATTCCCTGATATGTTCAGTCAGTCAAACGCAGCCAGAGGGGATGCAGGTTGAAGTAGAATCGTAACGGGGCTTATTTGTCTCGTTATATTACAGATTTGCAGATGGCAGCGTTAAAGCCAGTTCAACGCGATGAAGCCTCGGCTGCGTGGATGGTTACTGCAAAGCAAATTATCAGTGGGAGGCTCAAAAATGCAGTGGATTTCTTTGTGTATTTTTTAAAAAAATGAATTTCCCTTTATTGTCTGCAATAATTTCCTTGCATTGCTAAATTTAAAAATATATATAAAAAAATGCCTGCACACATAGAGCTAAAATGCTTCGATTGTTTTAGAAATCTTTTTTATTTCAGGAGGAAAATGCAAAGATTTTTTTTAAAAAAAATGCAAATAATTTTCCACTTTCTTATCAAATCACCCAAACCTTTTTGTACAATGTTTACTCTTTGTGATTATGTTACGCCTTTCTGTTATTTGTCCTCACTGATTTTGCACCCAGAAATCATTTATGAGCCCAGTGTGATTGATATAAGAGGGCATGAGCATTACCAGCCCTGACATATGGTTAGCAGGGAAACCTAGAACAATTGAACCATGGTGTGTCACACTTAAAAAAAAAAAAAGCTGATGCACTGAGTATTTCTGCATCCAACACAGACACACACACACACTGACAAATACACGCGCACACATGCACACACAGCAAGACACTGATTTGACCCATATGCGCCATACACAGGTAGCACATAAATAACGGTGTAACTGAAACAGAAGATTTGTATTTCTTTCATTGCGTTTCCATCCGTGGGAAAGTGCTCTTAAATCAATCCTGCTGTAAAGACAAGTGTGTAGGACAAGCCGGGGTCCACTAAATGCCGCCACCCACTCCTTTCCTTGCACACAAAGCCTGTGCGTAATTCCAAAAAAAAAAAAAGCCATCCATCTCTTCCCCTAGCAACACTGTCCTTCACCACGCGGTCTGATCTGCTCACAATCCTATACCAAAAAACGAAAATACATGTCTTTGTGTAAATGCATTCGCAATTCAGAGATAAAAGCCAGGTGGAGAAGCTGCCTCGCCCTACTCACCGTTGGCGCATTGTCGCCTCCTCAGAAAGGAAATGGTGGCATCTTGTGTAGCTGGGTTCTTATTTATCTTTTAAAACATCCCTCCAGCGACAGCTCGGCTACAACTGCGAGCAGAAACTGGTTCTAATCTGAGTGGCCAGTGTTTCTCGCCGCTTCCTGGCTGCATTTGATCCGGGGGAGAGTTAGAAGCCTTAAATGTGTTGTGAGGGCACCGAGCTGTCAGACCTTTTGGCGAGTAAGATTGATCGCGCGCAGGCTTCCAGGACTCTTTGTTTGGTATATAAGCAACAAACTGAGAGAGGCCTACCACTTTTCTTCTTCTTCCTCTCTCTTACTCACCAAGCCATATTTTTTTTTCTTTGAATGAAAATCCAACATGTACTGCTTGACGAAAAACATCCCAAATGTGGCTTTTACAGATTATTCTGGAAGGGCTATAAAACCAAACACTGCAGGGAAGCGCCATTCAATAACAATTCCATTTACATAATATCGCTGCAAATGGATTCATTGTGAATGGTCGATGGTGTTTGCTTCATTGCAATGTCAGGTAGAATTGATACTGGAAATACAGTGAGATGCCTTCCTTTGCATTGCAGCTGCTGTCCTCCCAGTAAACCCTGCTCTAACCTTGTGGTTTCCCACTCTTAACATGGACATTCTAAATATTATGACAATATATAAAATATGGTAACAACTGTGGCAGCTTTTGGTTATTGAAAAATGTGACTATAACCAATCACAAAGGAAAGAAAGGGCTCCTGTGTGTTTAACCTGACGTTTATGGGTTTGTGCACGCACATGAACGCGCATGACCTCGTTTTAAAATCGACCTTTTGTGGCATAAACGAAAAACCTTTGTGCTTTAAAATCATATCTATGAATGCTACATAAATGGCCTATATTACAGCAATGTCTGCGAGTGCGCATGCATGCATGCATACATGCGTACGTATCTTTTTACAAGCTCCTGGACCTGAACTGTAAATTTTACAACAGCTGTTATTGGAAGAAATGGTCGTAACGTGTCATATCCATCAGTATTAACTTAATGGATGGGCTTTTTATTGCAACACATGTCAATGGATGCACTGCATATTTCATTATTATGCATCTTTGAAGAATCACATCTACTCTGGAGTCCACACTCACTGAGCAGACTGGATTGTTGGGGTTTGTTTCTGTCGAGAAGTCTCAATGTCAGTTTTTTGGGTATGTTTTTTTCACCTCAGGAGCCTGACTCTCGCCTATATGAATAGCTACTGACGTGAAATGTGTGTGTGTGTGTGTGTGTGTGTGTGTGTGTGTGTGTGTGTGTGTGTGTGTGTGGTGGGGGGCGTTCTCGACTGACATCCTCAAACAATACGAGAAAGAGGAGTGCACGAATCCGCGCACCCTAGGCTGGGCTCCTTCCCTGTAATAGTGAGCGTCAGCCATTCTTAAAAAACACATTTTGTAGCTTAGTGGACTGGACTGGAGGGGCGAGAGGAGGATAAACTGAGCGGACAAAGATGTAAATAAAAATAGTCGTCCCCCAGCTGAGCGAGGCGTTCTTCATCAGAGTTTTTGGATCAATCAGGCAGACAGTGGCTCCTTTTGATTAAACCCCAAATTGTCATTGGGCAGAGGTAATCATGTGACAGGCAATTCGGTCCAATTTCAACCTTGTCTCCATGAATTCAATAGTTTAATAGTAGCTCGGTCCCCATACGGCCGTAATCAGTGATATAGAAAAAAACACCACCAGGAGATTTTTTTTAATGATTTTTTCTTTCTCGTCCTCACTGAGCCGCAACATTTATAAAAATACGCGTGCAAACTTTCCTCGGCTCTCAGGGAGCGGAGATGAATTACGAATTCGAGCGAGAGAGCGGTTTTATCAATAGTCAGCCGTCGCTTGCTGAGTGCCTGACATCTTTCCCCCCTGTCGCTGATTCATTTCAAAGTTCATCAATCAAGAGCTCGACGCTTTCACGCCCGACACTGATTCCTCCTCCCTTTGAGCAGACCATTCCCAGCCTGAATCCGGGCAGCCATCCGCGGCACGGCCGGCCCAGACACAGCCCCGACGGATGCAGCCCGCTGCCCACCGCCTCCTTACCCCCGGAGTACCCCTGGATGCGGGAGAAGAAAGCCTCCAAGAGGAACCACCTGCCGACCTCCACCGCTACCACCATCTCCAATGGACCCGTGTGCTTTTCTCCAAAAGGTGGGTGATTTTAAAACACTTACTGCGGAAGTGTTTGCTATCTGTTGCTAAACTGGAGCTCAGGCCTTTCCTTAAAAAACAAATAGGCTAGAGACGTTTTATTCTGAAAGATTTATGGCTATTGCTTTGCTGTGATTGTGTATGAAGCAAGAAAAAAAAAAAGTTTGGGTAAAGTTTGGTGATGTAAGATGATTTATTCCCCTAGCCGTAGCAGAGTTTTGATGTGTGACAGTAATGAAGAGTGATGGAGTGCCGTTGCCGAGGAGGGCAGCTGGAGCATTCATTAGTATCCCACACCCGCCTGGACCTCACTGCTTTTATAGTGCACTGTGTTTGCTTCACGCTCACGCTGCACGTTATTTTATGTGTTAAACAATCTGATGATATGCTGTAATGATTTCTGGATAAAAGGTGCACAGGCTATAAGCTTGGGTCAGTAGCTCCAGCGGCCATTTTGCTGCAGCGTGTTGTGAGCCACTCTCTAGTGGTTTGTGAGAGCCATAATGTTTGATTCACGGGCAGCGGGGTTATGTAACTATTGTGTCCTGCGTTTTTAATCCCAATGCTACCGTGATGCTTATTTTCCAGGCTCGCCTGAGATTGTGGAGAGCGGCGGAGGAGGAGGGGGCTCCCGTCGGCTGAGGACAGCGTACACCAACACACAGCTGCTGGAGCTGGAGAAGGAGTTCCACTTCAACAAGTATCTGTGCCGGCCGAGGAGGGTGGAAATAGCGGCCCTGCTGGACCTGACCGAGAGGCAGGTGAAAGTCTGGTTCCAGAACCGGCGCATGAAGCACAAGCGGCAGACCCAGAGCAAGGAGAACCACAACGGGGAGGGGAAAGGGCAGGGCGCCGAGGACGGCATCCAGAGCGACGAGGAGGACGAGGCCCCCCTGTACGAGCGGAGCGGGGCCCTGCTGGAGAGAGATACCTGCTCCTTTCAGAACAACTCTCTAAGCTCCACTCAGCAGCTCCACAATAGCGAGTCCATGAGCTTTGCTGCTGCGCCGCTGAACAGCAATGACAAAAATCTGAAACATTTTCCCAACCCGTCACCCACTGTTCCGGGCTGCATGTCAACAATGGGCCCAGGCTCGGCATCTGGCCCGGACAATGGCGACAGTCCCCCGGCCCTGGATGTTTCTATACACGATTTTCAACCTTTCTCCTCGGATTCCTGCCT